GTGCAGCAAATATTTTGCTTCCGTTAATAATAATTTTCCTTTCCTTACTCTTTTGTTCTGTTTTCATAACCAGAACAGCAATCAAAATGCATAAAACAAAACAGTTTAGCCATCATATGATATACCATACACACATGCAATCTGAACAAGTACACAACCATAGAAATACACTTCTGTTTCCTTTGACTATTTTATTCCTTCACTTCTATATTATAATACAAAGCAACACATTCCAAATATTTTTAAATGTAAAATTTATTTAAAAAATTCCATTTTGCACTACTATTTGAGATACTACTTGGATTTTTCTGTGGTAGCGCAGCAGTTAAAACCTCTAGCTGCAGGAAATTTGCTGATTAGAGAGTTAGCAGTTCTAATCCACGAGTCGGGGTGAGCTATTGACTGTCAGTACTAGCTTCTGCCAACCTAGCAGTTCGAAAGCATGTAATGCGAGTAGATCAACAGGTATTGCCTCAGCGGGAAAGTAAAAAGGGTGCCACATGCTGACATGCCACCAACTCGATCAGAGATGACTATGGACAACAAGCTCCTCGGCATGGAAAAATGGAACAAGAGCACCTCCCCATGGCTCGAGCTAAGCATCGCCTTTAGGTGCCGGAGATGGAAGGGGAAGGCCTTTACCTGTCTCTGTAATATATGTCATTTCTTCACTGTGTAAAAGGCATTGAATGTTTGCCTTATATGTGTAATCCGCTCTAAGTCCCTCTGGGGAAATAAAGTGGAATATAAAGTGTATTATTATTAATGAGGTTAATAACTTTAACTGGGCCTCATAGAAGTTCATCTAAAGGGAATCAAACTTGATGAAATCTCACTATTCCTCTCTATTTTGATGGAATAATATATCTCACTGAAAAATATTATTTTCAATACCGGCATTTCCAGGTTAAGAAACTGGTTGTGTGATAGGTAGAATGGCATTTCTTTATGGTTGTTCCTGTTCTTTTAGCTGTGGCATAAGCACAGAAAATCAGTTGTGCTAATTTGGATTATTACTAGCAAAATAATTTGGAAATAAAGGTCTTGTGTGGGGACGAGCACCCCTTGCAACTAATTTTGTTTTCTGAAAACCTTGTTTTCATCAAGAAAGTGGATATGTGGTAAAACACATACGAACTCCATTTCCTAACTAATTAGATTGACCAAATGCCCAGCAATTGCCCAATGTCAAGGCTTTTCTTTTTGGGGGGAAAATCACACACTGCCAGGTCCATCAAATCTATGGCCTGGCATGAGTTACAAGATTATATATATAACAGAGTTTACGTTTTATTCATCTTTGATTTTATGAGCTTCTTTAATTTATTCAGTTTTTCTCCTGCATATGTTAAAGTTTTAGGTTGTATTGCCAATTAACAGTAATCCAAAGTGTGAAAGCATAATTCAGACAAGATTAAAATACAATGTATGTATCAACTCAGACTTTGCTCAACAGTCATGAGGAATGAAAGGCCAAATGAAACCCTTCATTTTTCAGCAAAGAACCTAAAAGAAAGCAAAATAGGTCTCATGGGCTAGATGTGCTCTTTGACTCCTGCCAAATGCAATTGGTTAAATCTACCAGCTGCATTTTACCACTCACAGGACTAGTCTGTCATCTGGGGATTGTGAAATTTGCAGCCCACTGGACATTTCTGGACAAGTCCCATTATTCATGGTCATTGCATGTGTCCCTTCAGAAAGCCATAAGGTCTTTCACTCATATGCGCTCCATTTTCCTAAATGAGCAGCCTTGGCTTTATGGCCATCACCAGCTATTATATACATTTCCATCCTATCCTCTCCTGTCACAAAGGGAGAGAGGCAGTTTTTTCCAACTCTGTCTTCTGCAAGGAAAAGCCATTCTTCCCATTTATAACGTCCATTCCTGCACTGTATCTGCCTTATCAACTTCAGTGTGTGTGAGAAGACACAGGATGCTTCACAGGGGGATTAACTGTCAGTTGAATCATTTCTCTTACCCCTCCCACAAAAGGCAGCATTGCTAAAAGAAATTTAAAACGAACAAAAGCCTATTTATTTGGAGCTGCCTTTGCATGCAAGCACTTCCATACCACCCTGACCTGTGACTTTACAATGACATACCTGTGAAACTGTACAGCAGGCATGTAGCCGGGGGGGGGGGGGGGTTGAGGGGTTCAGCCCCCCCCCCCCCGAAATTCTCATGGTCGTTCGCGAAAAGGCCTTACTGGTGCATTATTTAAACTGTTATGTTTATTCATATCATGATCTGATAACCATACTCAATATATCCCATATGCATGAGGGTATTGGGGTAATGATACAAAAGGTTTGCTAGGCTAGACCCTCTTTCACTCAGACTCAGCCCCCCCCCCCAAAAAAAACTCAGCCCCCCCCCCCCCCCCCGAAACGAAATCCTGGCTACGGGCCTGCTGTACAGTATGTTATTTGGTTCCATAACCCATCTTTGCTTATTATACTGCTCTTCAGGTTGATACACTGCTGGCCCAATTTCATTTCAAGACATTAAAACCGTCGTTAAAATAGGTCCAGTGCTTGAAAACCTTTGCATAAACAAATCTAAACATGTTTCTCATTTTATATTGTTTTCCAGGGAGTTCCGTTTTTCTTTAATTTTCTCCACATTTTCCCACATTTAATCCTTCTGGTTTTAATCATGTAGGAAATGGAGCATGAAGAAGCTAAAAAGATGGGGGGGGGGGTGTAAAAATGTCTTTTAAAAATAGGAGTAAAACATGGATCTTGTTAAGTCTTTTCAGACCAAATGCTCACCTCTTTTGTGGGCATTGCTTTTTATGGGTGTGTAGATAAACTGGGATATGAAGGGTCTGCCCTTCTTAGAAAAAAAGGATTCGAGAGTCCCAAATTTCACCACATAGTGCTTGACGGAAAGCAAATTTACAGAAAATAGTTCATAATAAAGTCTTCCATTGGCTTTGCTACTTTGGGAAGCAAACAGGCCAGAGTGAACCAGCATATTGACGAGGGAGCTGAGGCCAAAACTATCCATTCTGATATGCTGTTTTTGTTACATCCCTTCAGACCATCTCTGGTTTATGGTGATCTTGTTTCGTGGGTTTTCTTGGCAAGGAACGTTTGCCATTGCCTTCCTTTTATAGTGAGAGATGTGACTTGTCCAAAGTCATTTAGGCCCCTTCTACACTGCCATATAATCCAGATTATCAAAGCAGATCATCCACATTATCTGCTTTGAACTGGATTATCTGAGTCTGAGATAATCTGCAATTTATATGGTAGTGTAGAAGGGGTCCCAGTGAGCTTCCATGGTTCCAAGGACTGGAACGCAAGCATCACAGAGTCTTAATCCAACATACAAACCATTATGCCATGTTGGTTTTGTCAGTGAGTAAGGAACCAAGAGGGACACTGATAGAAGCCCAGATCAAAGGAAATTATTCTGAATATTTGGTGTTAGACAATTGGATATTAGGCTTTGGTTGCTCTGGTATACCTGATGCACTGAGCAATGGATTTACTCAGAACAAGAATAGGCCAAGTCCAGCCCTCCAGACTCTAACCAAAAGTATAGAGCATAGCCGAATGTGAGGAGAACTATAGTTTGCCCACCCCTGCTTTTAACCTTTTGGTTAAACTCAGAAATATGTTTCATCTATGGGATCTGTCTGCATAAAAGCAAAAGAGGCACACACACATATGAGTGCTTTAATGTGACATCAATCAAACATGAGCAAGCTCAAGGCCATGACAAATAGGTACAGGAACAGGGTGCACAGAATAGTACCCTCAAAGCAAACAGGAAGTTTTAATGCAATAGATAATTGTATTGATTTTAAATGTTTGTATCATTAGGTTTTTGTTTTTATTTTTTTATAAACCTTGTAGGATTTCTTACATTGGAGAAAGGCAGGAAATGAATGAACGAATCTGTTGAAATATATTTATGTGTAGGAGCTGCAGCTTCCCATAAGCTGGATATGGGGACAGTAGTCATGGATATTATCTCTATGTAGTAGGGTTGTCTAAGTCTTGATTATATTGTGTAGGCATTGATTGTGTTGTGTAGGTTCTAATCTACATGATCACATTATTTTATACAACATCATCCTCATTTTATACTTTTAATGTGTTTTAACTATCTAGATTTTATTATGATGTAATTGAATATGTGGAGTTTTGTTTGTTTTAATTATTCTTTGGTTAGTCATTTAAGTTTATAGGTTTATATTGATTCTATTTAGTTGTTTATTGTTTGTTTTGTTTTGTTTGCTCATTTTGGCATCGAATGTTTGCCACTTCTGTTCTGCAAACTGCCCTGAGTCTCCTCGAGGAGATAGGGTGGATTACACATAAAGATTGTTGTTGTTGTTGTTGTTGTTGTTGTTGTGTTGTGTAGGTATTGATTTTTGCAATTGTCATTTTTAGGGCCTTTTAAGCCAGGGATTATTTCCCATTCTTCTTTTGGTTCCTTGTGGCACAGGAAAAACATGGAGATTACTTTCTCCCATTATTTCTCCATTTTCCGATTTCTAGTGCAATCCAGCTTCTGATTTCCTATTTTAATTGGAGATAGGGTGATGGTCTCTGGTGCTCAAAACTCGCCCTAATGTGTTTCCAGATCCCCTACCATTGCTTCAGACATCATTGCCATAATTAAGTTGAGTCTCATTTGTGAATAATAGCTTTCTCTGGTACTTGTATTGGTGTAGTCCATATGCTGCTCTACAGTTATAAAATTTGTTGCAATTTTCTTTTCCACATTTAGCTAATTAGCTTTCAAATGGTCACATGATCTTAGAGAAGGCAATCCCAGACACCATGTGTAGTCAGTGACCCCTGCTTTCCTGAAAATACCTGTCTGTTGAGCCACTCTTTATTTAGAGTATACCTGCTTTTAAAGTTTTTGTATAACCCATTGTTTATTCTTGAAACGGATATTTTATGATATAGAAAAATATGTCAGAGGTTTTTTTTCTCTTCTGTAATTAATGATAAATATGTTGTGTTTTATTTTTCAGGTCCTCCAGTAAGTACCATGGACATTATGCTTGCTCTTGAGACAACAAAGCTAAGGCTTTTATTTTTCTTTCTATGTCATTTTGCAGGAACAGCATTTTCAGTGGAGGTGTGTCTGGGGCATAAATTGATACCAGATGCTACTTTTCCCTCTGATTGTAGGCAAATAGTTAAGGAGAAAAAAGTAATTTGAAAAATGTTTATTTCTCTGCCTGAAGGGATTTGTGGATGTTTTAAACTTAGTTAAAAGTATTCTTTTTTTTCTTTCACATTTGTTTTTGGGAGAGGAGTCGTAAGTTGTTTTTTGTAATGTTCATGTCGTACTTATATTATAACTACAAATGTTAAATTGCCTCCCTGGCTTCTCATGTATCCAAAGAGGTAATTACTGGTGAAGCTGACTGTGCAAAGCTGGGATTGCCCAGATGAAAGTGCAGCATTTGGTGTTGGGAAGTGGGACTGTTGAGGTTATTGACAAAACCGTAAATGGCACAGGCACTTCCACAGAATGGTCACATAAATCCCCCAGCTCCACCCTGCCCTATATATCTACATAGTAAACTGCTATAACATTACCAAGAGGTAACATACAAGAGAAGAAAACAAAGATGACTAGTTGCACGTTTGCATAAAAGGGGCATGTATCCTTCATATATGTGTGTGTGTATTTTTGTATTAACAAGTATGTGTTAATATGTATATACATTTTTATTATGGTCCAAAGACCCTTATTACACTGTAAGGAATAGAAGATTCTTCTAAGGCAGAAGGAATGGCAACATGACAAAAATACCTGGGCTCTATTGATTAATGCCTCAATGCCTATGTACATATATATATGTAAATTTGGAAATAACTACTAGAATTTGCATTTTACCAAGGTCAATAATAATAATAATAATAATAACCTTTATTTCTATCCCGCCCCATCTCCCTAAAAGGACTCACAACATAAGTAAATGCAATAAACAATATATCTAAAATAAAAGACAAGGTATTAAAAAAGAAAAAACAAAATAAAACAAAATAAACAGATTAAACAATGAACATTAAAAACACTAATTAAAAATACATTTAAAACACAGTGGTTCCAATAGATTTAATAAACTAGATAAAAAGCCAAAATATCCGAGTATATCCATAAAACTATTTTCCTGTAGTTGGTTGATTAGAAGAAGAGCAAATAAAGTGGAAGTGAACAATATGTTTACACTTGGTTATCCAGTGTGAGCAATAACATAATGTTGAAAGAATTGAAAAGAAATGTTTCCATAAAGAATGAAAGGAAATGTCATGCAAAATCGAATGCATATTAATTTATCATTTTACAAAGAACTTAAAATGTCAATGCAAGGGATGTCTAGTTCAGGATTTTAAAATTTCTGCAAATTTAATGGAATGTGTAGATCACTGCTAAATGTCAGTACATAGTATGGGGTAGTAATGCAAACTCTATTAGCATTCATAAATAATCCTCCCACCGAGGCTTCATCCTGCCCCATATGATGACAAATCAACACTGCAGAACTCAGCTTAGTGTATATATTAACCAGTATTGCTGGAGTTTGCTCCCTGATATTCATGCAATAATATATGTTTGTCAATATGTGGCCAAGTTATTTATGTTAACTTTTAAAGCAGAAAAATATATATATTGTAATCCTCTTGTCATTTGTAGGACCTTGGATATTCTTTCTCATTTGACTTACTTTCTAAAATTGATTCTTCAAACCAGACTTTTTGTTTCATTTTGCCTCCCATCAGTTTATGTATGGGGACTGACTTGTAAGGAAGCTTTTCATTTACCTCTGTATGATTATTCCTTCCTTACTTTTAAAGCCCATTCCCTTCCTGATTCGTCAAGGTGTGGCCTTGAATGTTTAAACCCTAAATGTTGTCCCCAAACTCGCAAAACATAGTATTATGTTATTTGTATAACATTTAAGACTCTTCCCTTCTTGTGAGTCCCCACCTCCACCCTGCCCCCCTTTTCTTCTTTCAGTCACAAGAAATTGATTACTACTTATACTACATAGCATCAGGTTTTGCTGAAAATTCATTCTTCTCCCCATAAGCCACTGGAGTGCCCTGTTACTTTTTGTTGTCATGAAATGTGTTCACGTATTAAATATTAGACCTTGCGGTATAGAAATTATGGCTGCTGGATTAATGACCATTCTTCCTGTAGAATGAGTGTACTGTGCAAAAGGGCTGGTTACAGAGGATATTAAAATTGCACGCTGAGTGGGTAATTTCTGCTGACTGAAGGATACATTTACCATGCACATATAATTTAGCACTCACCATATCAAATGTTCTAAAATACTCCATATGGTTGAAGCCATGCAGGATCACTGACATAGGCAGGCAGTCCGGTATTTATGTAATCAATTCTTATTACTGCTGTTGTGAATATTATTGTCACCACCACAAATGAGAATAAATTGGGCCTTGATCATGGACACATAAGAAATGAGAAAAAAGTGGCCAAACTCATCCCTGTTTGTTTGTGACTTAAAGAAAAGATGCCTGAAGAAAGTGTAACTGAAGGGGATTTTACCGCACATCATCAGCTAGTTCCTAAATCAAGTCATTATAACGGCTTTTAGGATTGGAAGAACCAGGATGGTGTAGTGGTTTGAATGTTGGACTATGATTGGTAGGATCTTTTGGCCTTGGAAACACACTGAGTGACCTTGGTCAATTCATACTGTCTAAGACAATGGTTCCCAACCTGTGGCCCATGGACCACCAGTGGTTCACAAGAACAAAATTATGATCCGCGGCCTCACCGTTAATGCACTGTTGCCTTGAAACAACACGGCAACAATAATGACTGGTCTTGTGAAACCCTCTTATAGTTCTGAGGCAACGGGGATGTCAGGAGGGGAGACTACCCACAAAATATTATTACTACCATGTCAGCTCTAGAATATTAAATATGGTTTTCTGTGGGCAAGCAGATGTGACTACTGGATGGCATATTTATTTATTTGGTTTACTCTCACCCCGAAGGGGACTCAGGGTGGCTTACATATCCAAGGCACAATTCGATGCCCGTAACATACAACAATAATTGTTCTGTATTAGAAACTAGAGCTGATGTGGTCTATCTAATGCAATTTTCTGAATCTGCATTTCAAATAACCAAACCAAATCTAAAGTTGACCAAAAACTATTTGTAATCCTTTTGGTTCTAATGTTGTAGAGTAGTCCCTGGTCAAAGAGGTCCCTGGTAAAAAAAAAAAGACTGGGAACCACTAAAAAGCAATCTAGCCAAGAAAACTCTATAGTAAGTTTGCCTTAAGGGTCACCATAATTTAGAAACAATTTGAAGGCACATAGGTAAAAGCAAAAAGAGTCTATCACTAAATGTTTCTTCTACTGTTAAGTATTTCACAGTTGCAGCTGGCCATAATCTGGTGATGGTACAATGATTTGTTAGTAGGTGTAAATTGAATGTACAGTACTCCCTTATTTAGTATCCACTAAAACATTTACTAAAGTGATACCCATTCCTACATATTACCTTCAGTCCTTTCCATGATCATCTCAAAAGTTATGAAAGAAATTGTGTGGGTTTGGTAGTACACAGCTGAATTTATTATTATTTTCAAGCGTGTGTAAGTATCTACTGTAGTATAGTTCAACCAGATACAAAGTTTGACCAAGATGAAACTCTTTCTGCCTTACTTATGCTTCCATAAATCTAGTTCTATGCTTTATGTCCATGTTTGACGGTGGGCCAGTCTATGCCAAAGTAAAGGGACTAAGGTGGGTGACAGGTGGTGCTCCAGATATTTGCTGGACTGCTAGCCCCATCAGCTCTAGCTGCTGTAGCCAGTAGTAATGGTTTAAGAACTGTAGAAAAAAAATCTGGTTGCTCTCCACTGCTTTAAAAATATTCTTCTCCTTCCAGTTACTCATTTCCTGCTGCCTAGTCACAGTTCAACAAGAGGAAAAATACAAGGCAGCAGTCAAATGAAAAATCTGGAATAAATGATGTGAAGGAAGAAAAACTCTAATTGCTTTCAATCAGCATTGCTGCAGAGCTCTAGGACTTCAAATCTTGGTTCCCATTATGTTTTTGAACTATGCTTCTCAAAATCCTTGATCATTGCCTGTACTGGATGTAGCTGAAGTCCAACAACAAAGGAGAAACTAAGTCTGGAGACCACTGTGCTAGCAAATCAAATGCTGGGATATTATTGTATTTGCTTCAGCATTAGCTAACAAGTTATATTTTAAATTCAGTCCCAATATGCAGATTGCCCTTGTTTCTTCAAAAATTCCCATGAATAAGAAACATGCTAATACGGTTCAATGGATATATATGGTTGGGACCAAACTCAGGAGATCAAATGTCGGGAGCCACAACATTTACAGAATCAAGGTGGTCTTGGGCTAATCATAAGCCTCTTAACCTATTTCACAGGATTGCTATGAAGATAAAATGAGCTAAGGATATACAGTGAACTCTTGTGTCATCTGTTCTCTGCTCAGAGAGTGGAGAAAAGGTCCAGAGAGCTTCTGTTTCCCACTATGTTCGTCCTGATTTTTTAATTAACTGTGATATCTTGGTGCTATTAAGTGCAACTGACTTATTGATCTTATTGTTTTCCTTATTTAATATCACAGGGGCAATCAGGACGAGATGGTTACCCGGTAACTTTGCCATTCCCTTTATTTTGCAATCTTTTCTCCAAACTATGCCTCATGCTCAATCTCGTAACCTTCTCTTGCTCTGTCTTTTTCTTGCCCTTTCAATCCTTGTCACAGTTAAAACAGATATTTAATACATATAGGCCTCAGTTGATTTGATTTGTTTCAATACATGAACAAATAGAGTTCAACTTTGCAGTCCTAGCTATGATATGAAGCTCTATGAACACAGGTGTACATGGCATCCCCTTGTACACAGAATTTCCAATTCATTTCAGCTTAGGGACTTCTATGTGTACATTCAAACAACATGTTTGAAACTACCCCCAGTGAGGAAGGTCTTATACACAGAAGGACCATTTGAAGCAGGTACGTGAGTTGACACCCCAAAAAGATTTCAGCATTTGTTTCTTTGTAAAATGAGAGCTTCTCCTGGCAGTACTCACATCTAGAAATGATTACATGATCCATGGATATTACAATATACAAATGGATGATGAGTTATCTGACTGGGAAAAATGATCCAGCTGTTCTTTTCTTTAGATTATTTGCATGGACATCTTTATTTATTTACTTGCTTAAATCCTTGTTTATTGAATCCATACCTCACATTTTCCCAAGATAGGGTTCAAGGCATCTTACAGTAATTTAAAACAAGATTAAACTAAAATTTCCAAAAGTTAAAAAATTTAATGACATTATTTCAAAAACTGTTTAAAATACATTTTAAAACAAAGTTTTGAGTGCTGTCATCTGAGAGCTACCTTCCACAAAGATCAAGTGCTGTTTGTTCCCCATTTCTTAGGTACTGTGCAGGAACATTTCTTGGAATGTGTGCTTGTAGACCTATACTTGTATTATGGAAAGTTTTTTTTAAAACTTCAACATTTTCCAGCAAATGGTAGATTACAATTTATATCTGTGGAAAAGTCAGTTGATCTGCTCATATACCATATTCTTTGCTGATGGGTTTGGCATGTGAAATATTACCAAGCATGTACCATTTCTGTGATATGAACAGTGAGAAATAGTAAATCATTCTTGATGCCTGTATTATTTTGTGGTGTTTCCTCCAGATGTATTAAACTATTTTTAATATGCTAGGTTGAATTTAACTAGAAGCCATCTATATATCCTGAAAGCACTAGATCTGATCTTGGAATCATTCAATACATTTGATCTTGTAACATGGGCAGCTCTTGAGGCACTCTTGGGGGGAAATAGACCTTGACATATGCGAGTTGTAGTTACTGGGATGTATAGTTCACCTACAATCAAAGAGCATTCTGAACTCCACCAATGATGGAATTGAACCAAATATGGCACACAGAACTCCCAACGAACAGAAAATATATATCAGTGATTGGTTGGGGGGGGGGGGGCAAAATACTGTTTGCTTACCATTGAAAAGAAGAGCAAACCACTGACCACCTGCTGCAATGCAACCTGAGCCGTGCCACATGCACAATGGAGGACCTTCTTGCTGCAACACCAGAGGCACTCCAAGTGGCCAGATACTGGTCAAAGGACATTTAATCAACTACCAAGTTTGCAAAATTTGTGCTTTTTCCCCCTCTGTTTGTTTGTTTTGTTCTGTTAGAAATGTAATACAATGGTATGGTTGCTGATGACATGATAAATAAATAAATGCCATTGAAAATTACCTAGGGCCGCCTCTGTCTTGGAAGCAAAGTGGAGTCAGCCCTGGATAGTTCTTGTATGCAAGGTCATCAGCAAATACCAGGTGCTGTAGAATATATGTCAGAAGGAGGAGGTGACAAAATTACCTATCAGTATTCCTTGTCTAGGGAAACCTGTGACATTTATGGGATTCACATAAAATGACCAGCAATGTAAAGAAACACATACACACAAATACCTTTTAACTTTATGGTGCTTAGCTCTAAGAACCCATACTTAAGATTGCTCTCTTAAAAGCTGACACTTTACAATTCAAGTGTTGCACTATCATGTAGTCTTTATTTTTTAAAAAAACAAATAGTGAATAGTACCAATATTATTTTCTTCCCCCCAAAGAAAAGCTTTTTCATTTTAAAAAAACTATCTTCATTTTAAAACTTTGTGTAGTTGTCTTATAAACAGGAAAAACTTCCTGCTAGTAAAGCTGTTCAACAGCAGAATACAGTATGCTGCTGTGGAGTATAGTACAGGTTCCTTCTCTGTAAGGAAATGTCAACCTTGCTCTTTTACTGTCACCAAAATGCACACCACCCCCACCTCCCGAAGCAATAGGAACCAACAAGAAAATAATCATGAATTTCATTGCCTGCATATTTTGCCAACTAAAGTGGAACCTTCCTAGTGCCATTTCTGGAGTGTGTAGCAAACCAGATATGAAAATAGCCTTTGTTGGGATGATTTATTGTGAAAGAGAAGAAAAGTGATTTGTGTTTCATTAATGTTTCTTGTAGTCTTCCTTCAGCATTATTTGTGCCAATCTCTAGTCATTATTCATATACCTAACAGAAATAAAACATGGCTTGGCTAGAATAATTTCCTGTGCAGCGCTGAGTACTCAGAATTCTGATAGTACTTAAGAGAAACATTTCTGAATCTTAATCATGAAGGTAGGCATGCTGGTTCTGATTTCAGGGAGAGTGTGTATTTATCTACTTTGTTAGATTTATGGATTGTTTAAGAATGATCCATAGAAAATTAATGGAAGCAGGGGAATTAGCTGCATGCAGGTTGTTACTTTCCAAACCTCTGAAAAATTTGAGCAGGTAGCCATCATCCTTCAATTTACCTGGCTCCATAGACACATTTGTGGGTTTATTAAGCTGTTCTTTATACTTTTACAGAATGGCAACTATGGCTACATGATGAAGATGAGGTTGTGAAATTCAGATCAGGAAACTGGCAGAATAATTTCAAATCTATAGCTCTCAGCAAGCAGTAGAGAAAGTTGTTTCTCAGCCTTCCCATGATCCATAATCTCTGCCAAAACACCTGAAGTGCAGTTTTTAAACCCCTCCCCCAAATACAGTTACTAGAAAGAATCTTCATGGGCAGTATTGCAATATCCCTTTCCTTTCAGGTATTTAGGGAGGTGGTGGGTCACCTTTGCAAAAGAAAAACATTGTGACCACTTCATGTTTGAAAAAAAAGGCCAAATGGGGCCAGAATCAGATGAGATGGGTACTAAAATGCCCATAGATATAGCAAAATGATTAATAGCACCTTGCAGAAAAAATAGGGTGCTGTTGGAAACTTTAGAGGCAAATGTATTTTGGGACAATCAAAATTTTGAAGGCGGGAGCGCATAGGTATTTGGAAATGGGAAAGGGGTACCTATCAGATTCCATTGGGGGACAACTAGTTGTCCAGTCCTGCTCTAAGCTTATATGGGCACAAGTTATTCTGTATATGGGAATGGAAGATGGCAAGGTGAGTCTATAGCTTTCTTGCCTTCCCTGCCCCACAATCCAAATGCAATTTAGGGAAAAGTATCTTCCTATAAAAGCTTTAAAAGCAATTAGGTAATTTGATAGAACCTGCTAGGACTTTAAGATCTTTCAGGGAGGCCCTGCTCTCGATCCTGCCTGCATCACAAACACCTTTGGTGGGGACAAGAGACAGGGCCTTCTCAGTGGTAGCCCCTCAGCTATGGAATGCCCTTCCTGGGGACATTACATTGGCTTCCTCCCTCTTCACATTTCGGAAAAGAGTCAAGGCTTGGTTGTTTGAGCATGTGTTTGAAAATGCAAGGTAAAAGACATAGGAATTGGAACGACTGAACGACGGGATGGGACAATGTTTTTATTAGGAGACGCAAATTATGTATGCTTTTAGTATTCTTGTTACATTTTTATATTATGTGTTAATGTTTTAAAATGTTTATGGTGTTTTTGGGAATCGAATTGTTTCCATTGTAAACCGCCCTGAGTCACCTAAGGGCTGAGAAGGGCAGTACACAAATATAGTAAAATAAATAAATAAATAGGTCAGGAGGCCTGGGGGCTATGACAGATTTACCTATGAGCACTACTGTGCCTATCCCAGCATTAAAGTATATGTATCCTTGGAAGGAGAGGGTAATGGGTGTATGTCCCACTTGTTTTCTTTCCCCTCTGCTCACATATCTAGGGTGTGTGCTAGACAGTGGCCATTGTCTACTTCATGCAAAACATTTCTGTTGAGCAAATGTTCAACTAGCTTTAGAATAATTTCTGGACTGTCAGTTACTCAATGCATCTATGCACTTTAGCAAGTAACCAAATTACTCAAAATATTACTACTTTCTCACAAAACAAAGCAGCATTTTGACTGCAGAGTTGTGTTTAGTTGACCTTCCAACAAGTCTGATTTACAAAAATTGGGTGTACCATATTTTTAAAAAATCTTGTTAAAGTTAGTGATGTAAAACAATAACATACAGTGGGCTTTGCTTTCTTTTTAATTGGTGTTCTCCTGCAGTGTTTGTGTTTGTTGGTTTCCCTGAGTAGATTACTTGGTGTTTTGTTTCATCTTGCTTTTGTTTTGCAACTTGGTTTACAACTGGAAATAGAAAACTGTACAAAAAGTAACTTGGAAAAAAGGAGCAACCAGTGGAGCTTCCTTTTGTCACTGCATTTATGAGAACAACTTCTTCCTGCCGCTTTCCCCATTGCCTATTGGCAAAGGTATCCATTGTTTTTGCCTTCAAGTGTTCTTGGAACTGCTGAGGAGCAGCGGGGAAAGTGTTTTCCTTGTCTCTCTGAATCCTCCAGGGACTCTATGAGAAGCCCTTTGAATCTATCTAATGGCCTGATTGGATTTTAATTACAGAGAATAGGGTTAGAAGGTCAGTGACCTCGCTTGCTCCTCTCTGTGCCCTGGAGAATGAAAACCATTTGAGTTTAATTTACTGCTTGGTGACCTCCAGACAGTATTTCTCTGTGTCTAAAAAGTATGCCAAGACAATTCCTCAGGAACTGACTGCACTTCAGTTGTGCATGCTAAGCTACAATGGGATTCAAACTACCATTGCATTTAGAAATAAG